GAAGTCTAGTGAAATAATTTTTATTCTAATATTTGAAATATATATTGTGGTTATTGAAAAGTAGCACTGTAGCACTGTCCTCCCATTGTTCATCAATTTGCTCGAGCGGGCCCAGTAACGTCTCCATTGTGAACTTGTTGTTACTGTGTTTGGCATATTGAAACGTCATGGGTAGCTTGCTAGGCTTTACCATGCAGGTTAAGATCCTCTCAGTAGCTTGCCGGGCTCAAAGTATAGTCTTAAAAATATCAAGTCCACTTTATAACTTGTAGATTGCTATTGCTTAGGAAATTTGATTTTTTGTGTTCAGTACAAGTTCTTACTCTAATATAATTTTCCCCAAATTTGCTCAAGGTAAGTTAGATCCTGCTTGGAACTCTCAGATTTATGTCAAAATATGATCACCTCTAACATAACACAAGATCTATTTTTAGTTGCAAAGAATATTATCAGACATTTTTAGAAAAAAGTGAGAAAACATCTTATATTTGATGAGCCAGGTAAGAATTTCCAATTTCTTTAAATCCATAGTTTATGCTTACTTTTGTTGTCATTTGGAGATTGCTTTTACAAGATAAAGTGTGATATTTAGAAGAGTATACAGGCTGTCTAACGATCAGGCAACTCTATTATTTTATTTTAAAATAACAATTATAAGGGTTGGAGTATAAAAGGAGGCCCCCAGAACCATGCCACCAGACTCTGCACCAAACAGTGTGGCGGGTGAGAGCCCTTCCCACCCCAAAGAACCCAGCCCCAGTACCCGACCCCCACTGCAACCACTGCCATTCCCCAGGCTTGCTTTCTGAACACATTATAAGACACTTCCTACCCATTTATGCCTCATGGAGAGCCTGGCAAGTTACCAGAAATATCCTGCCTGCAATGGGCAAAGCCTGGCAAGCTCCCCATGGTGTATTCAATATGCCAAATACAGTAACGACAATAGGTCTTATTTCCCTGACTCTGAAAGAGCCTCCAATCATTGGGAAAAGATGATTAAGGAGAGGCTGCTTAAATCTCAGGGCTGGGAGGAATAGAGATGTTACTGGTGCCTGCTCGAGTAAATCGAAGATCAAGGGGATGACAGTAATACAGTGAAGGGTTGGAGCAAAATCATAGCAAGTAGGGCAATTGGTTTTGATCTGCATCTCCCTGATGATTAATGATGTAGAGCATTTTCTCATGTGCCTTTTAGCCATTAGGATTTCTTCTTTGAGAAAGTTTCTATTCATTCATTTCATTGCCCCATTTTTTGATGGGGTTGGATGTTTTCTTCTTGTGGCGTTCAACCAGTACTTTGCATTGCATTCATCTGGGGAACATAAAGTAACAAAATAGGAGATTAACACCCAAGAATGGCCAAGATTAGTACAGGAATTTTGCTCCATGGCTTGGAGGCCAGCCACACATGCTAGGGGAAAAGGGAGCTCAGATAGAGAAGGAAGCACCAAATAAAGGGTGTTGGGAGGATCCTCCCAGGATGTGAGAAGCATGCTGAAAGTAGACTATAGACCAAACATGATTGCCACCCATTGCCTCTTTTGTAAAACACAACACCCAATAGGAGAGAGAGAACCAAAGGGAATGCCCTGCCACAGAGGCAGGGTGGGGTGAGGGGGATGGGGAGTGAGAGGGATACTGGGATCCGTGGTGGTGGAGGGATGGGTGTTTGATCATTGTATGATTGAAACCCAAGTGCAGAGGTTTGTGGGTCTACAACTGTACCTCATGGTGTCTCGCTGATGAAAATTGAAAAAAAAAATCCACTAAGAAAAAAAATTGTCATTATTTAATTTATTACATTTATGACAGTAGGAATCATTCCACTAAATGGAAGCGTTCTAGCTTTGAGTCTGAAATGAAGATTTAAGTTAATGCATATGTATATATTATAACCTTATTAATCTAGAGATAAATATGGATTTGGGGCTTCTGGATAGTATACCATTTAACTCTATAACATTTCTATATGTATAGATCTCTATAACATTTAATTGGTAATCTTAGGAATTAAGTTATGAACACAAAACTGGTTCTGGCCATGTGAAAATTGAGAGGAGGAAGTTGGGAGAATAAGCACTTTGCCCAAGATGATCAGTACTTAGATGTGGCTGCTGAGTTCAGTGTAGAAAGTAGAGCAGAATATAGAAGAAAGTGGAGAAAGGAGGCAGGTATACTTTTTTCAATAGACATATTTACAATGAGTAGAATAAAATATCTTTGTTGCATATTTAGAAGAAAATATACCAGTGATTTGAAAAATACACGTTGATCAGTAATGTAAAGTACAAGTTGAAAGGGTAATCATGTAGATTAGATTGTATAAACCATAAAATCAGACTATTAGGAAGTGGAAACCAGCAAATGACTTTGAGCTTAACAATGATAAGACAAATTGGAGGCAAGGGGGACAGAGTGTGAGTATAGTGGTAGGGCGTTTGCGTTGCATATGGCCAACCAGAGTTTGATCCCCAGCATCACATATGGTACCCCAGAACCTCCAGGAGTAATTTCTGAGTGCAAAGCCAGCAGTAGCCTGGAGCATTGTCGGGTGTGACCCAAAATAGCAACAAAATAAAACAAAATGGAGGCAAGATATTCAATAAAGAATGACTAGAGTACTAAATCTATAATTGATTAAGAACTCAACAATTTGTGGTCGAATAAATTATTTTTCTTAGATATTAAAATATTATTTTACACTTAGGGAACATAGCATGCTAATAAGTAATTCCTAACTAAATCACAATATTTGATAACCAGTGCTTTGCCATTTTAATTACATTAAATAGTAGCAGTAAATATGAAAATGATGTCTCATAATTCTATGATAACTTTATTATTTTGTTGCAGGATTTATCACTAAGACAACTCACATCATTTTCACATCATTTAATAGATTTAACACAGTTACAAGGCTACTGACATTTCTGTTAGTTTTGAATGACTTTTAATGTTTATTTGCAGTGGGTAGGAACTGAAAAATCTCATTAAAGATGTTGCTGATTTCCATTAAGGAGCCATAAAATATGAACGGTAATATGTTTTCATCTGAGTCCAAGGTGAACAAGAAGGGAAAATACCCATAAATCCTGAAATACAGATCTATTTTCTCAAGAAATGTTCTTAGTAATATTAATCTTAACCTATTATTTAATATCTTTTTAAAGATGTAATAAAGACCAAAGACTGCTAATGGCAAATGATATCAAATAAACCTCAATTGCAATTTATACAGTTTGTAAATGTATTCCAGAGTTTTTGCTATAAAATTTTTGAGTACAACTTAAATTTTAAAAATATTATAAATTATGATGTGCATTTATTAAATATAGAATTCAAACCAGCTCTAAAGTACAATGATGATGTGCTATGGTCATAAATTAATTTATCATTGATGTAGTAAATGTTTAGTAAGTTAATAATTCAAATTTTTATTAAAAGTAAAAAATTCCCCCAAAGAGAATGCTAATGAAGATACAATCATACTTTTCTAACTGTTCATGGGGAATAAACGGAGTGACTTATTGGGGACCTCAGGCAGAAGGTGCTGAAAGTCACTTGGTCTGTTCATAAGGCCAGAAAAAAATAACCTGGAGATTCTATGTACATTTGTTGTAGTTATGAGACATGTTTTTTTTTTCTTTTTGGGTTACACCCAGTGATGCACAGGGGTTACTCCTGGCTCTGGACTCATAAATTAACACTGGTGGTGTTCAGGAGACAATATGGGATTCTGGGAACCGAACCCAGTCGGCTGCCTGCAAGGCAAAAGCCCTACCCGCTGTACTATCACTTCAGTCCCTAGTTATGAGACATCTTCATCTACATAAGTAATTAGTGACTTAAAGTTTAGTAGGATAAAAAATAAATTATCAGGATCAGTATTCAAGCTTCTGGATTATCAGGATCAGTATTCGTGCTTCTGGATCACATTGATCTCTCTTATGCACATATTACAAGTGCGTGGAAAATTGTAGAATTTTCTGTCTTGCAAGTTTTATGGCACTATGGGTGAAGATTCTGAGTCATAAACAGCACTAACTTTCCTAAACAGTTCAATCCAAGACAACTCTGTGTGAGTGTGTGTGTGAGTGTGCGTGTGTGTGTGCACTCACTCGTGCGGGGGGTGGGGGTTGCATTTATGCAGATGTGTGTATCTGTCTATGCATGTGACCATATGCTTCCTTGAGACAATACAGTACTTCCCAGATAGAAGAAATGAAGGGAGTAACGAGATTGTCTTTGTAAATGGGAATTAGTTTGATTATGGTGTTCAGGACCTTATGTCTTCAGTTGATGATATTTCTATTCAAGTATGATCATTCTGGCAATATTTTAGAATTTTATCATGGAAAATTTCTTCCAACAATTTTATAATTTTATTTTGATGCAACTTCTCTGTGTTTTTGCGTTTGTTTCTACCTCCCACTCCCTCTCCCATTCCTTCCTTACTTCTCCTTTTCTTATTATCATTGCAATACTTTTCCAATAAGGATATGACAGCAGTGGGTAAAGGTTGCTATGTAAGGATAAAGTAGGATTAAATTGGTAAAAAAAGGTAGTATAATAATAGTAAAAGCATTAATTTCATTTAATGATCTTATTTCTATTTTGTTTTTACTCAGATATTAATCCAGAGATTATTTGGAATACCTAAGTGATCTAGGTAATTACTTTAGTGTTCTGTTGTACTATGTAGATACAAAAACTGTAACTCTAAAGTGAATTTACCAAAATATGTAGAGAATATAAATATTACAAAAATGATTATTGACTACATGTAGATAAACATACGCTAGTGGTGTGCATAAGAATGCAAATGATAGACATTTCTAGAGTGCTATAAATAGTTACCTTTTGTTTTAAAGTTAGATTGTAAGTTACTTTTGGTATTTTCAAGTCTTCATGAAAAAGATTGAATGAAAAATGAAGAAAATGTTTACCTAATATTCTCAGTAGTTTGCCATTAGTTTTGAGTAAAGAACTTTAAAAGATTGTTTCTACTATTTTAATAAAAATATTTATTATAAAATTATATAATTTCTCTGTACATAACCTAGAAATAAAGTACAATTTATGCATTAATAATTTAAGTGTGCTTGAGCATTCAGTATCCAGCCACTAGAATCCTAAAACTCGTCAACAGATTTACAAATACCAGTGTAGACTATTTCTATTTTATAGAACTCTACATAATTATTGTTATGGAGATGCATTTCTTTTTCTCTACTGTTTCAAAGATAGTTCACAGTGTTGTTATGTTAAATAATTTACTGCTTTAAATCTTTGGCAAATACATGGACTTATATGCATAAATGTTTACATTTCAGTAAAAACTGAAAAGTCAAATAATTGATTGCAAATAGTTTTGTGTAATAAATGAGAGTCACTGCCTGAAACTTTTAATAGTTAAGTTTGAATCTACAAAACATAGTTTGAGGCTTCTATCTGAAGCACCAAGACATTAAACCACAACAAAATTAAATACATATGTTAAACTCAACGCACAAAACAGTACTGATTATTTTACAATGCTAACAATTCTAGGTTTTTTCTATTGCCTGCTTTAAACATCAATTTGATGCAAATGAATTTATTAATTTCAGAAAAGCTTATTATTTTATATAACCACTTAAAGAAGCCATAGTACTTAGAAAGACCATAGTCCTTAGAAAGACACAAATGCTCTTGTCAATAATTTATCTAGGAAAATATATTACTTTTCTTCAAATTATTTGTGAATATACAAAATGCCTGTCTTCCTCTTCCCTCCCTTCCTTCATTCATTTTCTTCTCCAAGTATAATCTACTAGGCTGAATCATCAATTTGCCTAATATATCCAGCTCAACTTTCCAAAACTCTCACATGCTTTACAGCTTTTACGTATCAGCTCTTAAATCTCCATGGTTCACAAAACATCCTGGCATAAAAACTCCTTAATCATTTTATTTGGTAAAATGGTACTCCTCGGAGTACTTAAATTCTGATTTTCTTAAGCCGTTTGTAACTTGGAATTTTGTTACAGGCAAATAAACACTGGAGTGTAGATAATATAATTCAATACATATGTATATATGATTGTAAGCATATGTATATAAACATATATACATATTTTACATTGGGGGGCTTTTTGGGTCACACCTGGTGATGCCCAGGGGTTACTCCTAGCTCATGCACTTAGGAATTACTCCTGTCGGTACTTGGGGAACAATATGGGATGCCGGGAATGGAATCCTCGTCATCCACATGCAAGGCAAAAGCCCTACCAACTGTGCTATCACTCTACCTGCTGTGCTATCGCTCCAGCCCCATATTACATCTTCTTAATCCTAGAAAAATGGGTATCTTTGGATTACCTGGGAGAAAGCAGTACTTCCTCCTGACACAGGTTCTGAACAAACTTCTTTCCTTAATGTTGATTTTTTTCCAACTCATTTAGAAACACAAGAAAATAAGAGATAGTTTGCAATCACTGTGGCAATTCTTATCTCCCTCCACTACCAACACTCTGAATTTGGTGCAGACTTTTTAATTCACTAGGCACCTAACAATAAATGTTTTCTTATCATGTGAGTGTGAACAGGAAAAGCAGCATATTAAAGGCCTCTACTTTTCACTAAAAGATTTCTTTCTGAGTTCTCATATTGGCAGAAAACCTTGGCAGCAACACTGAATAAAATGTTTTAACTCATACCTTCTTAAAGTGAATATTTTTTTAGGTTGCCAACATTTTTTTTAGAATACACACACATATATACACACATACACACACACTAACTATATAGATTCATATACACACATAAAATGTACATTTACATTTCTAATCACACAGGTAAAGTAAGTCCCAATCCTTGAATGATAGGGCAGTACTTGATATATTGATATTTGGTACTCAGCAAATACCAATTGCTTTTAACGTCATTTAAAACACAGTCTATTGCAACTTCTGGCCTAGGTCTTCACTTCTCTCCCTTTCCCATCCTTGTTGATAAAATAATGGAAAACTGAAGCTTATTCTTCTTTAGGATTTGCTATCAACTCATGCATATTCTAAGTGAGAAGAATAAAAGAGCCAGTGATCTGTTAATTCCCGCAGTCCTGCACTGTGCTCTCCTGGGTAACAGAAACAAGCTCCTTTCCTCTGCCACAAAGTTCTAATCAAGGAGTTTTTGTCGTCATGTTGTTGAGGAAACCAGAGTTCACATGCAAGCGTTCAGGAAGCGGCACTAGCATGAGCCCACTTTGATCCCTTCCAGTGTTCCGAGTGTCCCTATTCACACAGCCAGTTTCTCCTTCGCCAGGTTTTTTGGTTCCTTGCTTGGAACACACCAGTCGTCAGCCTCACTGCTCATCTGATAGTGTTTGAAGGCTGACTTGTTAAAGACTGGGAGCTTTTCTATAGACTCAGAAGACAGGGCCTGGAAGAAAAGAGGAGGAAAACTATCAAATCAAAGAAATTAATCATGACCTATTTTATACTTGAAGTAATTTATTTTAAAAAATTAGGCCCAAGCATTCCAATATTTAAATGCATTCTTCTGATTGATTTAGAAATAAGAACACACAAAGAATCTATAATATGACAGATATTGCATTAAAAAAATCCAAACAACTGAAAAAAGTATCATTTCCACACTAGAAGAACCTGGACAGAACATGAATAGTTACAAACTAAGGAATATAATTTATGTTCAATACTATACATACGTCAGAATATTATTAATGTCAGAGAATTGAATAGCAAAGCAATTCTTTCCAGGCAAAACTCTTGCCTTAGCGACAAAGTGAGGGTCTTAAATATTACTCTTTTAGAAGACTCTCCCAATACGTGAAAGACTATTTACTTGTGTAAAAGCGAAAGCATTAATGATTAAAATGGCCAAAGTTCATTTAGCATTACTTTTTTCAAAAGTTTGAATCACACCATTTGGCTTTCCTCAAGACCTACATTAGCACCTGTTTTTGCTAGTATCAAGAAGTTCGAAGAGGGTATTTGTTGTTACAACAGAGGCAGAAAAAAAATACCAGCACAGATTTTGCTGAAGCCATCAGAAGGCAGCACACAGCCTGAGCAGTCAGAGTGTGACAGCCAAACTTCTCAGACCACTACAAGCCGCATCTCAGCGTCAAGTTGCCACAGTTTTGAAATATATCTGTGAGCATTCTTTCTTTTTTAATTTGCATTTATTTTGTGCATCCATTAGCAGTATATGTCTAAAGTATCTGAAAGCCTAAGAGATCTCCTAAGGACTTTATAACTAGCATAAGACTAGACATCATTGAAAATAATCAATGCAGTGGGGAAAGACAGTTTGAAAGTGTTCTCCAGAATCTGAATGGGCACTGTGTGAGATTTTCACTACCACTGACAGTGCTAAAATGATTACAGAAAAGTATGGCTTTCATTTTCAAAAGGCAGGCAGGTGTAGGGCAGGCTTGCAGGATGTTTTGAAAAACAAAGTATTATATGGTATAATTATTTGTGATGTTAAGCAGTCAAGCATACTGTCGGAATTCAAGGCTACTGTGTCAGTCCCGGCAGATAACAAAGAGACAACATAACAAATTGAGGCTTCATCAGAAGTAGAAAAACATGGACCAAATTTTAGAATTGAAACAGGAAGTATTTTGCATCTCATTGACAGTTGTGAATAGTCAACTTTCCTTCCTTGGGTTTCTCTAATAAGGTCTGCTGAAGGTCCTAAGTGCCTTGATACTCTTGTTTTTTTACAGTTGGAACATTATTAGCATATATGTCCTGTATATTTAAATAGCAGGAAAACCCAACTTTTCTCAGAGATGTCAGAAGGAGTTACCTTAAAAAAGTAGCCATGCATGGTGATGGTATTGACATTAATAACTCCCTGCCTTGTTGGATTTAGAACACAATAAGATATGAATAGATGACTGTTTTCTCCTAGATGTCTCTCTCCTATTCTTCCAACCATATTGACTTCTAATGACTCTAACACCCAGTTATGACCACCTCTCAATCTCCTAGTGTGTTTGCTAGCTTCTTGATTCTGGTAAGGAAAACTATACTATACATGTATTATTTTTCTTCTATACAGGAATTTACACCATTTGTGTTTTTATTTGAGGTCAGTATTATTTTCCATTCTGTGTTATTTGGTATGATTTTGCAGGTTTTGAGTCCGAGAATGCTCAACAACTTTTCTATATAAATCAATGGTAATTGATTCTTCACTACAGGTCACTTCAGCTTATGAAAGTTTCATAGGCACATTCTACTTTTAGATAGTGGGAGAAACGTGCCATTTTCATGTGCAAAATGGGAGCCCAGAGCTTTATGTTTAAGTTGCTATTATCTATTTAGTTGCTATGCTTTCAGTAGAAATAGTTGGTAAATGATTAACAGAACCAAGACAGTGACCTTAACAAATTGAGGCTTTATGAGAATAAAAAAAACATGGACCACGTTTTAGAGTTGAAACAGGAAATGTCTGGCATCCCACTGACAGTTGTGAATAGCTTTCCTCCCTTGGATTTCTCTAATAAGGTCAGCTGAAGGTCTTAAGTATCTTGATATTTGTTGTTCTCCCAGCTGTAACATGACTAGCATATATTTCCCATACATTTAAATAAAAGAAAAACACAACTATTCTCAGAGATGTCAAAAAAAGTTACCTTAAAAGTCCACACGTGTGTGCCCTCACTTTGAAACTGGTAAGCTTATTTGGAAATAATTTTGCTTTTTTAGAGGCAGGTTGTCTGATCCTGCTTCTAGTTTGGTAGGCTACAAGATTAAATAACAAATGCTATGCTTACACATACTCCCTCAAAATATAGGATCATTTATGTTCATTATTTGTGTTAATTTGGTTTTTTTTATTACACAGCAAACGAGAAAACTAAGTGATGTAAAAAAAGCAATATATTCAGAAATATTTTTTCTGATTGAATTTAAAGAATACCTTTAAATAGATGACGGCATCTGTCCCATATCCTGACAAAGAAAAGAGATTCAAATCTCCTTGAAAGTACTTGGCATAGAGACGGGAAATTGGTAAGCCATAACCAAAACCAGCCTAGAGGGGAAAGATCAGTTACTGGTCAAAATAGATGCACATGTTCACTGAAATACACTATCAGAAGGAGCAATTATCCTTTCTAATACTGATATGGTAGAACCTGTATTGAGTAGCTCCAATCAGAGATACCTTGTAGAACTGTTTCACTACTATTGTTTGATTTGTCATTTTTACATATCTCCCAAATCTAACTAAATGAATCAATTTGCCTTCCAATTTTTGTCCACACTTAGTAATAGATGGATGGCATGAATTTAGTTACATAATTGGTCTTACCAAAGGAGCATTCCGGGAATTGTCCATCACAGGTGTTGGTGCAGTAGAGTAAGTATAACTAAAGAGGCGGTCAATGATTCTCAGGGGAACACCACCTCCTCTATCTGAAATCTGAAGCACATATATTAGAGCTTAACATTAAAAAGCTGTGACCTATATAAAGTATCTTTTTTTAATTTTAAAGTTGTTTAAGGCTGATAACTTAGATCTATTGCTCAAAGTACAGTGCTTTACTATTATTTTGTTGGTGTTGTTATTGTTAATACTCCCAAGAGAAACTCCAGAGAAAAGCAAAAATGTAGTCACCTTAATTGTAAGATCTTCTTTTCCTAAAACAACAATCACCTCAATTGGTGTAAGAGAAGGACAATTTTCCTGGTGTTCCACTGTTGCCCTCATTGCATTCTAAAGAAAACAAAACCAAAAGTAATTCCATGGCAGAAAAATGAAGAACAATAAAAAACAATTTTTATGTTTAAAATAAAAGTAGCACAGAGAGTAATTCAAAGTTCATATTTTTTAAGTTAGTAGTAAAATAGCTCTGTAAATAGTCATTTATGAATGTGTTATGCAGAGTGTATAATGAAAAATATTCATTTACTCTGCAACATAACTCCTGGGAGAAATGTCTAATGGAAAAACAATTCTGCATGCTGTCAAGTTCTTATTTGTAAGCTTAATTTAAATGTAGAAATTGGTTTTTATAGTCCATTTCCTGGCTCCCTCCTTTCTGTCTTTCCATTACATTTTACATCCAAGCACCAAAGACTATTATGTAACAAATGAACAGTGAATCATTGAACCATTTATTGGCTTTTATAAAATTTGCTGGGAGAAGGTTGTTGATACTTAAAAGGATAGCAAATAATTATAAATTAAATTTCAATTTGCACTTGATTATCATCTTAACTTTTATCAATGATGTCAACATAACTCTACAAATGGGCCCATTGCAATTTAAAATAAAATCAATAAAAGTATCTTTTGTCTTTCAACAGAGGAGAAACTTAAATGTTTTCAGACAATTGAATGAATCTCATCTAAAGCCTCAGCTTATTTCACCCTTTTTCGTTAGCCTTTGGGCAGGTTGCTTGCTTTCTGATTTCTCTATAATACGAAGTTCTAATAATGAGCTGAACTAAAGTTTGTAGTACAATCAATACCTTGCTGTGTTAGTATTAGAATAAGTTAAACATTCTGAAAAAATTTTTATCAGAATCAGAGGCAGATTTTACTTTTTTCTTTACAGTATTTGAGGGAACCCTTGGGAAGAATCTAAATGCTCCTGGTATTTTTCTATTTTTTGGCATAAGTTCAGAGTTTTTATTTGATTTTAGAATCCATGAAATGATTTGACTCCTAGCAGCAGACAATCCTAGACCAGTTAAGTAATGCCACCAAGCTCTAAAAATATAGAATTGCGTATTTATGGATCTAGAGAATGAAAACCTAAGAAGCTGGCCGGGTGATTCAAATGCACACAAAATAAATGCACACAAAATAAAAGCTTGAGGAATGTGCTACTGTGTTGTAGTAGGGCTCAATGCTCCATCTATTAGTTTATTTAAAAGTGAGAACCTCAGATTTAATCTCAAACCCACTAAATTATATTTTTTTGCTTTAACAAAACCCCAGTTGATTCAGAAGTATATGAAAGAAGACCACTGAAGGAACTGACCATTCTTTTAGTATACTAGATCAGGTTAGGATCCTATCACCTACAGTAATTCTGAACCTAGACCTTTGGATTTAGAGATGGATCAGTTTGTGGAAGTGGAAGATAAAAAGTCTATTTCACAGACTCATTCATCCCATGACCTTCCTTCACGAAGGCAGGAATAACCAGTGCTTTGTTGAACACCTGAAAGAATATGAGAACAGGGAGCATTGAGATGTGATGAGTCATACTGTGCGTTCTGAAATACGTGCTGTTGGTGTTCCAAAGAACTGCATGAACTCTTTCAAGCACTGAAAGTAGCTTCATCTTATGAATACAGAAGCATGCTCAAGAGAAAACTGAGAAGCTTTCGGTAAGAATAATAGAAACAATTTTTTTAAAAAACTAGTGAATATTTTGTTAAAGACAAACTTAAAATTATCATGACATGTCATACCTTGAATAGTTCAAAAAGCATATGATGAAGATGAGAAGGGACATAAACAATGTGAATAGGTTGGCCTGGAAGTTTTCCTAGGAAAAAAATATAAAATTTGTTTAGAATTAGTAAACCGCAAAATAAAAGGCAGGAATAACTAGTACTTTTATCAGAATAAGATTTTAGGTATTAATAAGATTAAAATATTCCCTATCCTCCTCACTCTAAAATCTTATCGCAAAGCCTTCCCTCTTAAGTAGTAAACACTACTGCTTATTTTTAAAATGTATTATCATAATTGGTACTTTATAATTAATTTTTGCATTTCTCCACAGATATAAAATATTAAACGAAGGGCACAACCATGGTGTCATAGATTACACAATATAGATCTTTTTTTATACTTTCAAAATTTGTGTGCTGGACAATTTTAGGGGCTAAAGTTACATGTATTTTAAAAAAGAAAAAATTAATATGCTCATAGAATACAATCCCCAAATTAGTGCTGGCTTACATTATTAAATTTTTAATTCGCAGTAAAAAAATAATGCAATCATTCTTTATTTTTGTATCACTAAGTCTTAAAATGTTGTCATCTTACTATGCTTAATTTTCACCAGCAGGCTAAAGGAAACAGAAACAAAGGCTTCACAATGCTGTTTGAAAAAAAAAGTATTATTCTTTGGTGTCTGGGACTTGGCAAAGTCTGAATAACTAAACACGAGGTCTGGCACAATTTCCTTTCTATCAAACAGTTCAGGCAGTTTGTCTCAAGTATTATGCAACAACACTGCTAGATACTGCTAAAGATGAGATATATTTTTAAAATCTCTCTTTGTACTTCTAATTTGAGTTTCACAGTTACCTAAATTTTCACATCCCAAATCCATGAATTAGGCTACCCTCACTTTGAATAACTTGATTTTTAACTCTCACACCCAAAAAACACTATCCTTGAACAGATTTTATTTACTTTTTATGAAAAAGAGGAGGTTATTTCAATGTAACTATATTATCTTGTTTTGAAAAGCAAATGTGGAAAAAGGTTAAAATTTAAAAACAAAGTGCCATGAATTTATCACATTTACCACATTGCTTCTGTCAATAAAGAAAGACCTGAATTTTTAGTGTCCTAAAAGTCAAAGTTTCTGAAGTATGGTCTGCTTGGCATATACTTGGCATATAACAATGGCATGTACTTCTAATATAACTGAAATTTTCTTTGATAAGATCATTTCACATGAATGTTGTCCTTTGAGTTTTAAAATGCATTATGTGGTAGTATTAGAGGCATAATATCATGTAGTAGATACCACAAACTTATTATTGACAAAAGTTATTTAGTGGATATGAAATAGCAACTTTTTATTTTATCCCTCTCCTGGTTCTTTGGTGTCTGGGACTTGGCATTTTTGTCATACCTAGAAGTGCTCAGGGGATGCTTCCAGTGCCACTCAAGAGACCACGTGGTGCTGGGGACTGAACACAGAACTATATATACTCTAGCCCCTGAGTTGATTCCCTCAGTCCTGTGGCTGGCTCTTGTAGTGAAATTTAAAGTATTTTTCTTAGTATGTTTCACATATGTATAGGACAAGATTCTTATATAGGCAATACTACCATTTCCCACCCGTGGCAGAAAAAGGGATAATTTTGGAAAAGATGTATATAGTTCAGGAGTCAGTGCATATCTTGCTGGGAATGAACATATACATGCATGTGCATGTATACACACAATTTCCTTCTAAGATGTTAGTAATCACAATCATGATCATCCTGTTGTCCGTTGATTGCCTCGAGCAGGCACCAGTAACGTCTCCTTTGCCCTAGCCCTGAGATTTTACCATATTCAAGGCTCTTTCAGGGTTAGGAGAATGAGATTCATCATTGTTACTGGTATTTGGCATATTGGGTACGCCACAGGGAGTTTTCCAGACTCTGCCATGTGGGCAGGTTACATTCAGTAGCCTGCCAGGTTGTCCAAAGTAAGAATGAGATGTTAAGATGTCGCTCAGCCACGCGCTTCCGGGAGCTGAGTTTTATAGTCTCTGGGTCTTGGCGGTTGATGGTATTACACCAAGCCAGGGGGCAATTGGTGGGTGTGACCCCTGCCTACTGGAAGATGGAGGATCTGGGTGGAGGATGCTCAGCCCTTATCCGAGCAGGCTTGGAGATCTCAAGTAATCATTTTGGTGAAATCGCTGTTACCAAGCAATTCCTCCTTAGTTATGATTGTTCTATCCCCATATTTTGTTAGTGAGCACTCTTTCTTTGATTTAAAACACAGGAACTGAATTGCTACTCTAAACCTAAATTATTTGTTCAGGCTTTTATTAATTCATCATCATTAACAACTGAATGTGCTCAATTGTAGCTTTCCAGTTAAGAGAACTTGGTTTCAACTAAAAACTGTGCAACAATTTTAGGGAAAAATAAGAACATAGACTCTATTATGTATTTATCAGAGGTGATCTTAACAGGGAGAAGACAAATATTCCCATAAAGCATATTTTATTTACAGCTTACCATTCACTTGTGTGAGGTTTAATTCTGGAGATGTTAAATAATACTGATCACAAAGCATCTTTGCACAGTCAAAGGCATCTGAAATACAAGGACTTTTTTATAATGATAAAATGAATTCATGACAAGTAAGCTTTAAAATTTTTAATTAAAAATAATCCTCAGCATGCATACTATACTAAAACAGATCCTGGAGTACATGTTTATAGCATAAATAAAATAACTTTTAGCACTTTATTAAAGAAAAGTTAGGCAGTGTTTAGGTTATAGCTGTACCTATAATAAGAATACACACCTTGCTGAGATTAAAAAAAAGTAACATGTAAAGCAAGGCACTTTAGCAACTGGTATCCTCACTTTTTAAAATATATTATAAATGATTGTAAAGACACCCTCAAAAGCAAAAGGTTTTAAGACAGAATAAAATATGCAAATGAAACACTTTGACACTTTGAATATAACTTATTCACCATCTACTCAAACTACAAATATTGTCAATTATATATGTTTTCAATAAGGGGATGTAGAAATCTACTAATTACCTTGGACCACTGCTGCTACATCACAGTTTGGATCAATGCTTCCAATGTGGGTTGGGTTTGCTGATTTTGAGTCACTGAATATAAGAACTGTTAGAAAAGTAAAAGATATTGTTGTAAATATCAGCATAATAATAATTAGAACTAATGCTGTGAAAGAATAAGATCCAACAATGAAACATTTTGAAATGTTTGTTTTTCAAACATAATGAAACAGTTACAGTTTGGCTTTATTTTCCACCAATCTCTATATCATGACCATGATGAGTTAACTTACTGTGTTGATTCATCAGCATCCGTGTAGAAATACGGTTCATGTAAAATCGATCCAAAAAGTACTGAAGATTTTGGTTAGTGATTGGGTCAACTGTACAGGTATCTTTATATTCTATGATTCCTTGGGCCATTGTAGGAACCACGTTATGGTGTCTATTTCGAACTTTGATTAGAGTATCTACAAAACTAAACCAAAGAATTCACAGTTAACAAAAGTTCACATAAATTTCACTAACTCCTTAGATTACTTCTCAGGAGACTAAAGCATTATTTAAGTATCTATTTTAAAAATCAAATAATAAAATGTTTGGACTACATTAAGACTCTCACACTATCGTTTTTCCACAAGTAGAGAAAAATAGTTGGTTCCATCAACAGACTTACTTTTCTTCTAGCTTACATATAAAAATGCCAATTCTGTAATCATAATATTTATTCTACATATCTTCACAAGTATTCTATTTTTTATTTATTTATTTATTTATTTTTTGCTTTTTAGGTCACACCCAGCAATGCACAGGGGATACTCCTGACTCTGCACTCAGGCATTATTCCTGGCAGTGCTCAGGGGACCATATGGGATGCTGGGAATCAAATCTGGGTCGGCTTCTTGCAAGGCAAATGCTCTACCCGCTGTGCTATCTCTCAAGCCCCTCTTCACAAGTAATCTCTTGAAAAAATAATATGTATTAATATTCAAGATGACTTTTAAATACCACTTTGAAAATCAATTTTTTTCAATTTAAAAGTTTCTTATTTCTTATTCTTTTAACTAGAAACTGCTACTCTAAAAAAATGTGTCATCAGTTATGAGACTGATAGTTATTAATGGAATATAATAGTAAATACTAAAAATCTTTACATCTGGTTAAAAAAATTCCTGTCTACTTTTCAAACTCATCACCATTTTCAATGCCATGTTTCTTTTTCACCATTCTATTAACCAATAATCCAAAACCCAATGTTGTGAAAAATTAAAGGATTGAGGCCCTTTAATTCAGGTATAAAGAAATGTTAAAAGTTTGCCTGGAAATATTTCAAACATTTATTCTAATGCAAAGAACTTACTCTGACAAAGCTTTATGGTCCTCTGGATTTTTTTCATGGAATTCCACCAAATCCATCAGACTCTGGATATACCTGTGAAGTGAAAATACATGATTTAAATTTTAAAATTAAATAGTTAGATACAAATGGTATATTCAAACTATTTGAAAAGAGAAAATATTAAACATGTTTGGAACAACATGTTTAAAACTATTAACTTAAAGTTTTTTTTCCTATAATTTGTGACTCTCAAGTTATTATAGATCAGTATTCAGTTTTCTAAGTGTTTTTGCCAAGTGTTCTCATTTCTTAAAGCAAAAACAAATTTTAAGGGAAGGTCTCATGCTCTTTTCCTAATATATGCACTGGTAGAGAAGTATAAATCTTAAAATTAGTATCAAGCAAGCTGTTGATTATGTTTGTGTTTCATTCTAATTATTTATGAGTATATATATTTAAATCAAGGAGCAAATAGATACAATAGGTTACAAATAGTCACTTGGTTAAGTGAAGTCTCTGGCATATATGTGTTAGTGAATAGTTTGGTTACATTCTCTAAAATTATGCTTCTATTGGTTCTTAACTCTTTCTAAATTTCAGGATATTTATTTATAAAAACAAATGACACAGGGTATTAATTGTCACTTAATGCTACATTTGTTCCAGGTACTGTTTTAATGGCTTTTTTTAATGGACTGCCTCATTTAATTATACTTAGGTATCCCTTTGAGGCATACATGTTATTCTTCTCAATAACAAATAAGGTAATGGAAGGACAGAGAATTTTTTAAAAATTTCCAAGGATTCCTCAATTGGTAGAAGTAACAGAAGCAGGATTTGAATCTAGAGCTGCTCTGCCATCCAATTATGGTGTCAATATATTATAAGTATTTATATTTTAATAACACTAAAACTAGACATGGTTTTAAGATAGTGCACCACTTACCAACTTTTTACCAACTGCACTGAAGGGGTATTAATTAGTCGATCAGGAAGAATATCAATTTCCTTTAAGATGTTGGCTAGTCTCACAGGCAATTCTTGCCGCAAAAATGCAAAAGAAGTTCTTTCACACGCATTTTCTGAACCTGTAACAGACACAGTTGACAGTAAAATGTAGTTGTTGGGAAAACACATTTGTCTGAATGGTGTGTGTGTTTAAATATATGCATATATGTATATATATGAATGGCATAACTACCATTAATATTCAGAGCACATACACTCATAAAATTTTATTTCATTCTCACTTGTGTTCCTGTTTATGGATCACTCAGGAGAATGTCTTTTTCTTACTTTTTTTCCTATTGTTGGGCTACACCTTGAGGTGCTCAGGGCTTACTCCTGGCTCTGCACTCAGGAATCACTCCTGGTTCAGGTGCCCATATGCAGGGCTAGGGGTCAAGCCTGTAGGTGCAGAGTCAAGGCAAACACACGCACTGCTGAATTCTCTCTGGCCTGTTTTTTCTTTTTTCATAAGGGGCTAAAAAAAAAGGGAGAATGATTGTTTTCTCTTCTTGAGAAAGATTCAGCTCTAACAAAACAGACTATCCCATAGCTCTCAGTATTGATTAGAGTTGTGGATCCGATCAACGGCACACTATCATGGAGACATCAAAGTTCATAGCGCTTAGATGGGAATTTATGATGAAAGTAGAAGAGGGTAATATGATGGGAATTATGATACTTCCAAAAACAGTTGTAAATAGTGTCGCATTTAAACTTTCCTTCCTTGAAACCTTCCATCTAAGAATACTGGATAAGGTTTAAGTATTTTTGGCCATAACACAAATTACTTGGAAAAGTCTAGTGGTGAGCAAAAATATTTATTAGTAATACAGATTATTAAATATAGTGCTAATAAAAAGTTCCCTTGCGAAGGGAGGGAGTATTCATCTAAACACCAAGTAATTTGAAGAATCCTTCAATGTAGATTCTTAATCTATGTTAGGAAGCCTCTTTAGCAAGTCCAATGCTGTGAGGAAGGCGGGGACTTTTCCAGTTCATTATTAAATGATGACTGAAAGCGAAGTATTTTGAAAGGAAACTTTGGAAAGGAAGGAAATAAGAGCTCAAACCATCCAGTCTCAATATGCTGTAAGTGGATTGGACTGTAGGGACACACTCAGAAAGAAGGCAAGTCTGGGAAATCGCAAGGTGCAGGCTCCAGGCAGTAATCCCAATTGTTTTAGCAGCAATCCCAGCACCCGGGCTGGGAAAAATAGATACATAAATAAGGCCAGCCCTGGAGCTCTGACACCCGCGCCTGAGACCCGTATCTCCACTCACCAAAGTCCAGCAGCTGCTTCATGGACAGCGGGGACGGGCTGTAGCGCGAGAAATGTTCGACCTCGCGAGGCACCAGGCTGGCATTACTCAAGGAGCTGGCATTGCGCAGCACAAAGCGGGCCGCCTTCATCTTCACGCCCACGGGACCACTGGAAGCTGGGGCGGGCAGGAGGGGCGCAGGTTGCAGGCAGCAGAAGCCTGGGTCGAAGAAGAGTTTCGTGGGCGCGTCCGCAGGAGAAGGGCAGAGCCAGGTGTTCTGGGGAATCAGTGCACCTCGCCCCGGGATAAAGTTCTAGGGTGCTTGGAGGTGCAGGAGTCGGGCAGTGTGCGCTCGAGACGTTCAAGTCAGCGTTTTTCCACCACGTCCGCCTCCTTGGGTTTTATTTGTGTGCCTCGCTTCCCCCACCCCCGTCCCCGCCACCCCCAAACGGGGAGGAGTCACTGGGACTCGGGGACATTCAGAACTCGGGGGCTCGCCAATCAGCTGCGATCAAAAAGAACTTTGGGCCCCGCCTTCGTGCCCCCACCCCCTCCCTCTCCCTCCGGTGGCTGTCCCCGCGAAGTGACCCGACACCGTGCTGGCATTGGGAGGGTTCAGCGGGTCAGAGAAGGAAACTGAAGTGCACATCTGGAGGGGAAAGTGGGCTAAAGATCAGACGCTTGGGACAGTGCTGCGTGCGGGACGCGTGCTAGCCGGGGCCGTCTGTCTCGTCCTTGTTTACAAGTGAGGGACTGTTTCAAAGTCATGCATTCTTGGCCAAACACTCTTTCCAGAATCCCCGGGCTCCTGGCATTCATTGGCTCTTGCTCAAAGCGGGGATTTTAATGGTATCCAATCAACTGCGTTCCAAAGCATGGGCTGACTTGTCATTGGAGAGAGAAAGGAGTAAACAATGCCAAGAACTCTGGTGGTTTCTCCTGAACAGCTCTCGTATGGAACATGAAGTTCCTACTGCTGACAGTTGGAGAACTGCCCAAAATATATGTACTTTTTTTCTTGGATGGTGAAAGGCCATCAACTGCCCAAAATAGATGTACTTTTTTTTTCTTGAATGGTGAAAGGCCATCAACTGAATCCGCCCAGGTCAACTTTCTATACATTGCACTTATCTCTGTTAATTAAAACAAAAGAGATAAGTTTGTCGAGGCCATGCCACTTTTGTTTTCCCCAAGAGAATTTACTGTTTTTCCCTCTGTATGAAATGTTCTTAATCCAAATCTTTGCCTGAAACATTATATTCTAGTCTTAAAATAGAACAAACTCTCTACGCCAAGATAGCTTTTTAAAATCGCCTCTTTGCACCCTTTAAAATAGATGACTTGCATGTATGACATCATATTGTAGCTGTTCTTAAACAGCTGTAAGTGGATTGGACTGTAGGGACACACTCATAGAAAGAAGGCAAGTCTGGGAAATCGCAAGGTACAGGCTCCAGGCAGTAATCCCAATTGTTTTAGCAGTAATCCCAGCACCCGGGCTGGGAAAAATAGATACATAAATAAGGATTTGTGTTCCCAGATTTGTGTTCTTAAATTACCCTGAACTGAACCCTTTCCTGAAAGGATTGGGGTACAGACCATGGCTGAAGCATTTTTATTATTCCTACCGAGCTCTGCCAGGTCCTAGAGCTTAACTGTGGAAACAGTGGGACAATACCAAATTGCTACTCTATTAGGTTCTGATATCATTATAATTTATATTTTTGTATTCTTGAATCGTTTGTTACATTGCCATGGTTCAATGAGGCAACAGCAATAAAAGAGTTCATAAAGTAGAAAGATTAAGTAAAGGTCTGTGGTATGAGAGAAATGAAATTAAAAGATCTAAAAAATTTCTACTTTCCTTTGAGTTACATGCAAAAAAAAAGTAAACGATAAGGCATTGTTGACAAGTCTAATTCAGGCAAACGCTGTATCCTTAAGTCGATTGAGCACTAGTCCCCTATGTTTTGTGAGATAACTACAAATGAGGTGAAGTCACTTACTGTTCATAGAGATGACTAAGGGTTTAATGTGAACTGAGGTACAAAACTCTTGTTCTAGGGCATCACTTCCAAAACTATTTACCAAGTTCCTCTCACAGTGCATTGCATTCTTCTGTATCACATCTCTGTGGTGGGAACTATTGTTATAACTGGCAACATTTATGTTGGTTGGACTGGAATAGCCAGGTCAAGTTGCTTACCCAGTTGGCTAAGATACTATATATTGCCACGATTAGTGTGTGACCTGGAAAGAGAGTGGCACTTCCTTTCCCAGGCTCAGGGTTGATTGAGGAGGTGATCTAGCGGCTATAGAGGTAAAACTACAAAGATTATTTGGGAGTGACTCTCTATTGAGAGTGCTGGGACATATGCCTATCTGGATATAAATCTCTCAACTATTATTTAACAGAAAAGATAGTTTGGTGGAGATAGGCATGGATAAATAAATGTCTTTATTTGACCAAATGTAGACAATGAAAGCTCTATTAGGTGATTTGGTGATAACAGTCCTAATCATAGCATACCTGCTTGAGACACCAAATTCCTAACTTTCTAAGGAATATTCTTACCAGTCTTAACTAAATTGTAATACAGTTCGCTTGACAGAAACTTTAATAACATAAAACCCTTTCTAGAACTATTACCAGAGGGCGAGTAATATCTAATTTAACAAGAACATGAGTATACTAAGATACCCATTTAATTTTACAACATGTAGGAACATACTTCAGGGAAATAATTAGAATTTTAAAACAATACATATACAACTTTCAAAACCATGATGAAAAGATGAACAAATTTTACAAATAATATTTAATGTTCAAATATTAAATTATAAGAACAAAATATTAAAGTATATAACAGATGATCATTCAAAAATGCGTATTTAAGCAGGAAAAAAATTAAGATCTGTGCCCTCAAAGAGTACATAATTTTTATGATGGGGTCATTTGGTGGTGAGGATTAGGCATTACAAAAATAAGGTATAGCAAGCATATCCATAAATTATGACAAGATTATAAAGAAAATTCACACAGACACAGTAACAACAAAGTCTCCAATGGAGACGTTACTGGGCCCGCTCGAGCAAATATCGGATAGGAAGTGCCCTAAATTTGCTGGGCAAGGAAAGTTTCATTGAAGTATCTTGGTGGCCCATGAAAAGCAATGACTATTATTTTCATTACTTTTAATTTAGAGAAACTTTTATTTATTTCTCATGGTACAAATCTACAATTTAAATGCATTTTTAAAAGTTAATAAGAGATAATTTGACTAATGTGGTATATTGGTAGTGATGACAATGATGTTATAAAGTGGTAATCTTAAATATGTTCAACAGTGAAAGAAGAGCTTTGTTGCAAGTCTGGGAATGTCATGATTATTGGATATTATTGGTAGACATTAGTTAAGGAAATTTAAGTGTGAGCAAAAGTTCACATATAAGAGCTAGGGATATTTTGTCAAAATCATGGCAAGGTTATTCTCACTGCCATCTAATATCATAAAGGAAGAAGAAATGGGAAATGAGTCTTATAACGTAGAGCTTTAAATAATTTTTGAGAACCCTGACACCTGTAATAGACAACAGAAAAATGTTGAAACTTTAAAGTATGGAATAATGTAGTCCCTATACAATTTGTTAGTATTTAAGCCATGTCTTTAAAGTCATTCAAACCTTTGCATAATTAAAAGTTATTCAAAACTTATAAAATAAGAGAATGGGAGACTAACACCCAAGAATAGTAGGGACGACCAGGAGGATTGCTCCATGGCTTGGAAGCCGGCCTCACATGCTGGGGGGAAAGGCAACTGAGATAGAAAAGGGACCACCAAGTAAAGGATACTTGGAGGGCTCACTCGGGATGGGAGATGTGTGCTGAAAAAAACTATAGACCAAACATGATGCCACTTAATACCTGCATTGCAAACCACAATACCCAAAAGGAGAGAGAAATTGAAAGGGGAGTGGGGTGGGGAATGAGGAGAGGAGAAAGGAGGAGTGGTGATCGGAGAGATGCTGAGAATATTGGTGGTGGTAAATGGGCACTGGTGGGGGGATGGGTTGTATGACTGAAACGTAAGCACGAAAGTTTGTAAGTCTGTAACCGTACCTCATGGTGATTTCTTAATAAAAAAAAAGAAAAAAGAAATGCCTTGTTAACATTTTCGTGTAATTTCCGAATGTATATAGATAAATACATATATAATGTTGTTTCACTATATAGAAATATAATTTTATGCATTAAAAAAAGTTATTCATAATAAATAACTTTCATTGAATACCAATGAGGACAGGAAGATAAAAGAAGTAATAGTCTTTGTCTTTAAGAATGACATTTAAAGAATTTTATTTTTTTCTTTTTGATAAATTTATTTATTGAATCACCGTGAGAGCAGTTACAAAGCTTTCGGGTTTAAGTCTCAGTCATACAATGATGAAACACCTGTCCTGTCACCAGTGCCCATTTTCCACCACCAAAACCCCCAGTATATCCCCCCATCCCACACCCTCTCCCTACCTGTGGGACAGATACTTTCCACATCACTCCCTCTCTGTGATTTCATTTAATATTTCGAACCCAGACCCACGATTATTATTTGGGAATTTACCCCAACACTCAGATCTGCCGAAAAAACAACCATAGACAATTTGTTTTCTATTGCTGGTTATGAATAGCATATGATGTTGTGCAGCCACAGTAGTCGCCGCACAATTTTGGAATTCCAAAATTTTAACAATTAATTCTGGAGGGATTTCTGCCAAAACCTGCTGGGTTCTGAGATTTGTTTCTGAGTCTCTGGGATCATGGCCATTAAGCAGGTTGATCAGGAGCCAGAGAGGCCATTCATGGGCGGCGACTCAGGGTCTCGTTGGGACAGGGAGGAAAGGGCCGGCTCCACCACCATCCCGTGAGGTCCCATGTGATTCGTAACTGCAGGCCCAAACCTGACTGTCCAATGGCCTCTGGAGGATGGCGGTCACTGAGCTGCCAAGGGGGAGCAGGTGGAGGGACAGCACCCTTTTCCCCCTGGGGTGGCCTGGAACTGGTAACCTACTGAGGGGACCAGACGCATTTTTGCCAAAAGCCACTGGGTTCTGAGATTTATCTTCTGAATCTCTTGGATCATGTCCGTTAAGCAGCTTGATCAGGAGCCAGAGAGGCCGTTCGTGGGTGGCAACTCAGGTCTCATTGGGATGAGGAGGCAAGGGCCAGCTCCACCCCAACCCCATGAGGCCCTGCATGTCTCAACACTGCCGGCCACCAAGCCGCCAGGGAGAACAGGCCAAGGAATGAAACCTATTCCCATCTGGGTTGGCCCAGTGCCAGTAACCTACTGCGAGGGCCAGACACATTTCTGCCAAAAGCTGCTGGGTTCC